TACACACAAATAACAATGATTAAAAGACTCAACATAAGAAAAAATAATATTATATATATGGAAATAACCATTCTTTACCTGATGAAGGTCACAAGACATAACCGAAACATAACCAAAAATGTTTGCAGCCTCTTCTCTCTTTAAAATATACACGTTTCTCTCATTGGAACAACTATAATCTCTCCCCTTTATATATATATATATATATATATATATATATATAAAAAGTAGGACCAGTATTCACTGACATAACTATTTAACAATATATTTTCTATTTTTGTAAATAACTTATGGAGCATAGAGCCAATGTGTTTTTGAGTAGAAGGGAAAGTCTTAAATCAAGATGGAGGGAGTGCAAGTAAAAATTTGTACACTAAAATTAGTTTACATCATTTTTACATGGTGACAAGCCTGGCTGCAACCATACCAAGTAATGCTGATATAATTTCAATAAGAGAATATTTGCAAAGTTGAGTTGCTGCCTCAGTGTTCAAAACAGACTGCTTTATAGAATGATAAAAGTTCCAACTGTCCTGCTATTTACTTATTTCATTTCTTTTTCATTATTCTTCACTATAAAATCTGGTATTAATTATAGAATTTAAAATAAAAATCCAGAATTAATTATAGGAATAGTATAGTATTAAGGTAAGCTATTTACAAAAATATCTAACTGAATTTGAATTTTGTAAATGACTGAAGTTTTTAATTTTTGGCTGCTAGAAATCTTTTCTATGTTTTCTAGTGCCAAAGCTAATAAAAAAAAAGAAATGATTACCACCTATAAGTAAAAAGCCTCTGTGTGTGCAACTACACGAATGTGTTTTTATCAATCAGTCACTTCTACAAAAATAAATAAATAGTAAAAAATATCTTTTTTTCATGGCTGAAAGCAGCCAACCAAAGCTGCCAGAGGCAGCTTTGGTTGGCTTCTTTGATAAGGAATTTCTTTTTGGTGGTTTGATAAAAAAATCTATTAAAAGACATTTGGCAATTTGAAAAAAATAATCTATGGCATCTGGAGGAAAGTGAACAAAAATAATGAAAGAATTAATCTAAATTTTAGCAGCTTCAGTCAAGATTACCCAGGAAAGTCTACATTGTAGTTGAAATACATAGATACAGCAATATGTCTGCAGCCTAATAATGAAAAAGTATTTATTTTGGACAACAAATATTTATATTTCAACATAATCTTTGTCAATGTCAGTGGGAAATAATAATCACGGACATTAAACATTATAAATTGAAAATTTTAAATAAAATTCAACTAATGTTTAAAAGATCATTTAACTTGAATTTATTGATTCCTTCTCATTACACACATATATATATATATATATATATATATATATATATATATATATATATATATATATATTTATATATACACAAAATTTAACAAAATTTGTAATTTATTATAAGGATTTTTTTTTATTTTATATTTAACACTTTTTTTGAAACCAAATAGTATTTTATATTTTTATAATATATATATATATATATATATATATATATATATATTTTGGGCAAATATAGGTGTAATGGTTAAATTGAGCTTGTCTCACTTTTACAATTTTAAATTAAAAGTAGAAAGTTTGATTTTGGGGAAATTTTAATAAATTCATATGTCAAGTGCCACATCTAAGCTACACTTGAAAATATTACAATATTATATATATATATATATATATATATATATATATATATATATATATATTATATATATATATAATAAAAGGAAAAATGTTTTTTTAATTTGTAAAGACAGTATACAATGTAAAATATGCAATATATTACATATGCAATATATAATAAATATAAATATACAATTTAAAACATAAGTAAAACAATACTATAGTTTTACTTTCATGTGGCCACTTAGATGTTGACACTGATGTCCTAGGCAGTAAGAGTGACAAGATATTCAGTTCCTTAATAAGGAAAGCAGTAACATGAGAATTTTTTTTTTTCATTATTATTATTATATATATATATATATATATATATATATTCTACATTCATAGTTGTACTGTTCCATCAGTATTAGAATGATGCCCATGCACCAGTAAAAACCAGAATTTTGAATTTTTTTTTTTTCAAAACAGGCTCTCCCCACTTTGATGATTGTCACAATCTTTAGTCTCTTTCTTTAATTTAGCCTTGTGCCATACTCAACAGGGTTTGGTAAATATCTAACATTCCTAGTATGTAAAGATTTAACTCAACAATTAAAAAACAAAAACCATCAAAAACTGTTCTGAGGAACACAATGAATATATTTTAAATAGAAATAATAAAAGAAATTAACCTATTTCACACTTGAGTGAAAGTGATTCATATTTGCTTTCATTAAATGGAATTTTGAAATGACAGAATATATAAAGCAAAATTTTATCTTATTTGTTTTTAATTTTCTGAAAAAAAGAAAATGAGGCAAATGTCTCATTTGCACTAAAATATTATTTTAAAGTGAAATGAGTTCAAGGAACCACTATTCATTTTTAATGTATATAGATCCTTTCCTTGGAGGATTGGTGTAAGACAAGCATTCTAATCAAATTTTGCTTTGTTGTGACTTTTTCTCCATACTAAGCTAAACTTATTAAATATTTTAAAATATATAAGAAAAATAGATTCAGACTATCAATATGAATATATACAGAATAGATTTTAATAAACTAACTTCAGTTATGAAGACTACAATGAGAGTGATCATTTTTTTCTAATTATAATTAAAAAGAATAACATCTAAAAAACAAAATCTATAGTTTTCTGTTTCTGTAGTGATTCACTTCAGAGTCTATTTCAGTAAATACAGTTATAATTGCAATAAATTTGGGTTTTGATGGTATTGAATATAAAATTGGTTTGTGAAACTGTTAAATGCTATCCAAAAAAGTATGAGGACAGCATATTTTATTAAATATAAACAACTACTACAGTTTCATTATGAAATAAGCACACAAAGAAGATTTCTGTAAAATGCTTTACACACAATGAAGCTCACTTTATGTACATCAAACACATCAAATTAAGCATACTACTAGATTGGCATAGGTTTCATTGTTTTAATGTTGAAATAGCTAGATGTAACCCCAAGTTCTATTCTAATAATTTTTTTCTAGCACTTCTTGCCCATGGAACTCATTTATGCTTTCTTGCTTCCCTGCTGCTTATGATCTTCAAACAAATGCAACATTTATCACTGTCTTCTGTCTTCTTGGATCCTATTCTTTTATTGTTCTTTCTCCTTACTAAAGTCTTCTCATTCTATTTCATACTCAGTAACCTCTGGCATCTTAGTGGCATTTTAGTCTTGCTTGGGGTGAAATGATATGTATGAATTACATAAAAATGAAACTCAGTTGTACCCCATTTATATGGTCATTTCGCTCCTCAGGATAAATTCCCTGGATATATTTGATAGAAAAATTTTTTATCAAACATTTTAGTATTGACAAGCTCCAGGGAATTTATATATATAAACATACACACACAAACTAATTTATACAGATTGTGCAGAAAGTATAATGATTATCAGAGCAGAAAGTGAAATCTGCAAATTCTGTTCAAATTCTGGCCTTATAGGTTGTTCTTTCATTTCACGTTAATATCCTTCAAAAGGGTATGAATCCATCTTCCTTCCATTGTGGATTAAATGGCAGTATAGACTGAGCTATGTAGCCTTGGGTGGTAGCCAGTCTAGGAGAAGGAAAACTATGAATACAAAACCTGATTTGTTTGGAGATAAGAATTATAAAAATGAACATGTATCTAAAAAGCACATAATCTTTTTTTTTTTGTATGCTTCTATTCACACCAGGACACACAAATTCATCTTTTAATTTAGTGTACTGAAGAGGCCATAAATCCCTCCCAAATTACAGTTATAAACCATTCCCTATAGTAATTTTTAAAAAAATTAAATCTACATAAAATATACATTCTGCTTGTATAAAAATAATTCTTCATATTTGCTTAATATAAAAGAAATCATTTAAAAGTAAAAGCTAAATGATACAAAAAAAAACACAAAAAAACTGACAGCTATATTATAACAATAAATTTTTAAAATTCATAAAGTATAACATAACAAGAATATTTTTTATCTTTTTTACTTGCAATAAGAAATTATGTGAAAATATATAGAAAATAGGAAAGAACTGGTTAGGTAAATAATCCAAAGTTCCTTAGTATTTTAGTTATTATTTTTAAAAAATAGTGCTCGATAGAAAAGTAGAGCATAAATATAATTATTTATTTAAAAATATGATTCCAACTCGTGACATAAGAAGTCTCATGTTTCAAAACAAGAGCCGAAAACTTCAATATAATTATTTGAATTAAATTGAGTTAAAGTAAGCTCTGTTCCATCTTCAAGCGAAATTTTTTTGAATAACTTATTTCTGAAATTTACGTGTTTTAAAAATTGAAATCAAAATTTCCATGGTAACAGCCAGGACGAATTGTTTAAAATAGGTAGGGATGTGCTGGGTATTAATAATAATTATCAGTATGGAGTTACTTTCATAGATGTCAAGTCAGGGTAAGGTGGGGATGTCTAAATTTGAAACGGAAGATGTTTTTACGTGTCTATGGAGATTTATTTATTTATTTTTTTTTAATTTCTTTATGAAAGGGATTTGTGCATATAAAAACTGCCGTAACTTTTTGTTTTTGATGACTTCATAAAGGGTTATCTTTTTTTTTTATATATTTAAACTATTTATTTGGGCTATGGATTATAAAAGTTATTATATTGTATGCTTGTTTTAGCTAATTATTCAAACCATGAATTTGATGATGACGATCAAAAAAATTAACTCAATTTATTATTTATATATATATATATATTCATATATATATATATATATATTATATTGCTTCTTCTAAGACAAAAAACAAAAATATTTTCTAAAAATTTTGTCAAAGAAAGAGTTTTTTTTAAATAGAATGGAGAAACCATCCAAGTCTTAGTCCTGTTTAATTGACTGTACTGGTATCTTTGGATCCTTTGACCTAAAAAATAATGTCATTTTTAAAAAATTTAAGAAATTGTAATGATGTATCATTCTATGCATTTCCTTTATAAAACATTTATTACTCATGGAGATGTCATATTATTTATAAGCATTTTCTCTCTATTATTTTCAGTAAATAACAAACTATTATAATAAATCCAATAATCAAATCTCAATAATGTGTATAAAACATTAAAAAATAAATAATACTTGCTAAAAACAAGCAAAAAAATATTCCTATATATATCTTTTTTTGTTTTACATTTTCCATGTATGTGGTTATATATGTAATTGTACATGTATATGAATAAATGTGGATGTATTTATGTAAATATGTATGTGGTGTGTGTATGTAAAGTTTTTACTATTACCTTCAAATCTTACTCCATCTTGATTTGAAACTTAAACTTTAATTAAGAAATATTACCCATCTAAAAATAGCTTCAGATTAAATTGATGAATTAGACTAACTATTAATGATTTTACCTTAACCATCGTTCACAATATTAAAATATTACTAAATTTTTATCTTTATTTTTATATTTGTTTATTAATATAATATTCAGTTTATATTGAATCCCTAATTTATTTGTGAAGAGATTAAATATTTAAATTGCTAGTAAGCATTAAATCTAATTTATTTGTGGAGTTTTTAAACATTTAAATTACTATCAAATGCTAAGATCTGTGTTTATCTAAATTGCTAAAGCTATACCAATTTACTCCTTCCTCCAAAACCTTATGCCCATCTCTTATTTCTTATCTCTTTACTTCCCCCCCTTTTTTTTTTTTTTTCCCATATCATTTCTGGTGAGTTGACTGATTAAATAGGTCAATGTCTGATCCTTATCACTTCTTCAATAATAAGTATTGTAATAAAAATAAATTTTGAAACTCTTCCTTCTTTCTTTTAGCTCAGCCATGTCTCTCACACTATTGTTCACCACCCTCTATGTTCACCTTACATAAGCTTAATACTGCCCTTCAAAAGTGTAAATTTTAAATTCATTTTTTCAACTTTGAAAGTGAAGTCTGAAGATCCAGAGAAAAATAAAATCTCTGGTGAAATAAATTATAACTAATGGAACCTTAAATTGGTTTGTTTTTTCTTTAAATTATATATATATATATATATATATATATATATATATATATATAGGTACCTCCATGAGATTGCTAAAAAAGAGCATAGCATGATGAAAAAGACACCAAACTTGATGAAAATAAAATTTTATCGTCTAAATGTTTATGTTATTATTAATAGGAAAGATCAAAGTATTTTGGGGGTATTTTTTTACATTTTTTAATCATTCCTAGCACATTAAAAATCTTTTTTTTTTTTTATTTTTTAAAATTGACAGATAATCAATCATGGCAACCATTTTTTGCCATTTTATAAAAAAAAAAAAAAAAAAAATCTAAGTTTGAAATTCTTTTAAAAATCAATTATCATTTTTTCAAAACTTATTTTAAGAAAATCAGAAATTATAATGTTTATTTAAAATATTTTGAACCAAGCTTAACTTAGACTCTGCACAGAAAAGATGTAGTTTGAAAATAAAACAAAGCAGATCATAACCTTTTACGTCACTTGACAGGTGATGAATGACATTGACAGATTACGTGAGGATAATTTGTTCTATGGGAGGAGAAAAGTGAAATTATTTAGATTTAAGTGAACAAATTATTTACCTCGTTATTTTTAAGGAAAACTTTCAGTGCTCTAAGTTTTTTTTTGTATTTAGCTTTCACCTTTACGTTTACGATGCTTTATGAAAAATATATTATAAAGAAATTAAAATAAGACCATTAAGAGTAAGATTAAATTTCATAAGATATCTAATTAATTTATAGGTACCTTTCTTATTAAATTTTATCAGAAGTGTACATAAAATACTATAATTTTATGTACATTTACTACATTTTACTGTGTTATTTGTATTTTCATTCATTTTATTATTAATTTTGATATTTCATTTATGGAAAAATGTCATAACTGAGATTAATATAAAAATAAGATCATATAAATTTCATAAGATGATACTGATACTTGTAGGTACCCTTCTCAGTTGAAATTGAAAAATCAAACTAACTTCTCCACACGTGTTTCGCAAAAAGTAAAGGTCTTAACAGCGGAGAACAATGCTTAACTCAAATAATTAATTGTATTCTGGTTGGTCTTCTTATACTTTTATAATTACAAAAATTTTATAAACACAAAATTACATTTCTTAATTACTGGGATTTTCTTCTGATTAGTCAAATTGATACAATTTACAACGTTAAAAAAAAAAATCTATCTCATAAGGAGACTTAGGAAACTTTTGCAAACTTTTAACTAATTTTTAATATTTTAACAACTTAAATGTAAAAATTATTATAATTAAAGAAATAACAAATAATTATATTAAAAATTCATTTTTTATCGAAAAAAAATTTTTTGCTTTCAGAAAATATTGTCCATATTCATAAAACTAAAAAAGCAAATAAAAGCATTTGAAATTAAATAATATCTTTTGTTTTATTGAGTTTTGTATTTACAATTCAGAGCTGATTTTCAACGTCCAATAAAAAAAAAAAAAAAAAAAAAAAAAAATGATTTGCATTCCTCAAAGCCTTGTGCTTTTAACTATTGCAATTACTAAACTGGATTCGATTGAATTTTTAGAGTTTTCATAAAATTAGTTATTGGTGGGGGGTAATAAATATAAAAAAATTTAAATATAAAATGAGTGAAATAAAAAAAAAACATATTTAAAATAAAAAATGAAATCTGTGAATGCTTATATTTTTTTAGTCCCAATTATGATTGAATCTGGTTTACATAAGCATGGTTTTCATTTCTGCTAACTGAATTTTAATGTCTTTCTTTTAAACAAAATTTTATTTCTTTCATTTAAAAAATTGATGATTATAACATAAAAAATTTTTTTCATTTTTAACCTTTTAATTTATTTCAATGTTTATTGTTGAAGAAATGTCATTTGTTGTTGGAAAAAAAAAGAACATAACTGACAATAACAAAAACATTTTATATTAAAACATTTGTATACTTTATATTTTTATTATTTCAAACATTATTTTTAGTGGATACCAATATTTGAGTAGATGCTCACTTTATTTTAAATATAATATAATACTATTTTAAATATAATATAAATATTTTTTATTTCATCTGCCAGCCTGTGTAATTGAAAAAACTTGAGAAAATGTGCACACTCCAACAGGATTCAAATCTGCCTCCCCCTTTGCAGGAGAAACCACCATCTGATCCAACTTGGCTATGAAGAGCTTCACAATCAAGCAAGATTCTATTTTGCCTTTAAAGCACATTCACTCATTCTGAACAGTCAAAACAGGCTGCTAATTCCTACTGAAAAGGGGAATGCTGGTTCAAATCCTGCTGGAGGGAACATTTTCTATTGGTCTGTGTACTTGAGAAAACTTAATAAAGGAAATATTTATATTACTTCAAACATTATTTTTAATGGAAGAAACATTTGAAGCAATATAAATATGTTGGATTAAAAAAATTAAATACATTAACTCTTTAGAAAATTGCTTTGTTTACATTTAAGATATGAAACTGAGCAGGTATGTGTTTCAAGAAAAATAGGAACAAGTGAATGTGCTTTAAAAGGTAAAATAGAACCTTGTTTGATTATAAAGCTCTTGGTAACCAAGTGGTCAAAGCATGTCAGATCAGACAGTGGTTCGACCTGCAAAGGGGTACACAGGTTACTGCAATTTTCTTTATTAGCTTTTCATGAGTACACAGGCCAGTAGACAGAAATAAATATTGTTTAAAATAAATGGAATGTCTACTTAAATACAGGTACCCACTAAAAATAATGTTTGAAGAAATAAAAATGTCAGATTAAAAAAAATAAAATCCATCAATACTTTATGAGGCTCTATTCTCACTCACCTTGTTTGTTTTGGCTTTTGTGTCACTGGTTTTATTGGCAAGAATCAATGCATTCTTTTTGGTCTGTTTCTTAGCAACAGAATGGTTTGCCACACATGCATTTGATGCTTTGGCTTTTGCACCAGATGCCTTGGCTTTTTTGGCCTGAGGAGGAGGAGGAGGAATGAGTGGAACTGGCTGCAGGTTTTTTGCTCCTCTTTTCTTGTTTCCCAACAATTCTGGGTGGATTTTAGGTAGAACTCCACCAGCTGGAATAGTTACATGTCTCAGCAGCTGTTCAAAGATTTTTGGAGGAGAAGCAAGGGTAGAGAAATAAAAAATGAAGAGTAAATGGATCATTTTTGCTGCTTGATTAAAGTTTAGTAAATAATAAAATGCTTGTATTGAAAGAAAAAAATGAAACTGGAAAATATGTTCTATATTACTATAAGTAAAAAAAAAAAAAATTAACAAAAAATCTTTAAAAAATAATTTAATGCCCTAAATGGGTATCAAATTATTTTTTTTTGATTTAAATTTATTAAATTTTTAATTTTGTTAATAAATAAAAGATTCAAAAAATTGATATTTTAATATTTCCACTAACTTATAAGATATTAAGTATTTCTACCTTGTAAGCCAAGTTAAGTATAATTAGAGATATCTTGTGAATCTGATATATCAACTAATAATCATAAAACTTAAAAAATATCTTCCATAGAAGAACTTTTGAAAAATAAATAAAATCAAAATTAGGAATGTATTTATTAAAGAATTTACTTATCTTTTATTCATTTCCTAACAATAATTGGAAACTGTCAATTCAAGCTCTAGTTTTGTTTATTCAGTTACTCTGTTGGATTGATTAGTTGGCCCTTATTAGTTTTTAAATTTAATACATACATACAAACACTTGCATTTATTAATCACACACAAGAAGGTTACTGATTGTTAATATAAGCATGACCAACAAATAAATACTAGTTTACCCATATTGTAAAAAATATAAATAAAAACACAGCATTATTTAAGAATTCTACATTTGCATTGGTTATATTTTTTGCATGAATCATCTAATATTTTTTTATCAATACAATAAATCTATTGTTACAAGAAAGAATTTTATTTTGCCTTTTAATATCATTAATAGTAAAAATATCCAAAGTAAACATAAAAAAGAAAATGAAGTGTATTAATAGCTTTGTCTCCCCTGCTTACTAATGAAATGTTCTGTTGGTATTATAACAGAAGGCATGTTTGCTTATTGGCATCAGTTAATGACTTATATTACTATAACAATGGTATATCTCGTTATTAAAAAGAGGAGATTGGGTTGTGTGATTATATTACAGATTAAGTTTTTCAGAAGATAATAGTATGCATTTTCTTTCGTTAAAATTTATATTAAAAGTAAACATTACAGCAAAATCATACTTATTATAAAACCCAGGATGTGTGTGTGTGTGTCTGTACGTTTATATATTGGATCGGATTTCCTACATTTTTCAACCGATTTCAACAAAACTTCACAGGATTACACAAAATTACCTTGCAGTGGTTCTGACAGCACCAAAAATGGGAAAAACACAATTGTTTTTGCACAAAATCAATTTGAAAACACGATTAATAGGCATCGCTTTTGCTGAATGAAAGGGGACAATTCATATCGAGTTATACTTATTATAAAAACCCAGGTTGTTTGTGTGTGTGTTCATTTTATATATGGGATCATTTTCCTACATTTTTCAACCGATTTCAATAAAACTTCACTTTTTTTTTGGCAGGTAGTGTTTCTTATTGTCTTGCACACTTTTTTTTTTTATTTTTACATTCAGAATGCTTTAAAAATTCCATTTACAAGAAATTGTTTATAATAAAATTCTATTCAATCGGTAGACTCATAATGATTGAAAACAATGTTTTTTTGTTTGAGTTTGGATTTGACCAATTTGAAAAAAAAAAAAAAAAAAAAAAAAAAAAACTAATTAAGACATGCGTGTCCGTCAACCTTAAACAATAATCTTTGTCAATTTTATTTTTCAGTCTTTATGATGGTCGATACTTGATCTATCTCTTTGTTACATCCCCGGCAAATTTGGTTCTGCTGCAGATAGTTATTAATAACATGGCATTTTACTGTGTAGTTCTTCATTTACAAGTTGTTGTGTGTTTCTTATTCTGTACTCTTCAAGGTTTGAGTTATTAATTGATAAACAAAATGAACAAAAAATGCTTTCATATGTTCTTTTTTAGAAATTAAAAATTTGGATGAAAAGCTCCTGATGTTGTATAAAACACCAACTAAGCATTTGTCCAAGAATCAATTCATGTTCGTAGAATTTGCCATTGAATCCAAAGAGTTTGGTGAGATTGGCTCAAAGATGATGAATATTCAAAACAGAAGAATAATATACCAAGTGTTTCAATTATTTCTTGATTCATAGAGAAAGGATTTATTCAGATATAAATGACATTGTTATGTCTTAGTAAAAATGCATTTGGTCACATCAAATTTTAATTAAATATGTTTTTCATAATTTTTTTAAAAAACTTTTATTCTTATTTTTAAAATATCATTACTTTCTGGTAAACCTAATATTTAAGTTAGGTGAATTTAAATGCTAAATAATTTAAATATAAACTACATTTGTTAATTTTTATTTATTTTAATAAATTTCTTTTTATATGTGCTACTAGAGGCACATTTATGATATTCAATATTCAGACAACTTAGTGCAATTTGAAAGCTATCCATTCTATTGGGCTATAAAAAGATAGACACATAAACTGAGAGAGTCATAAAGAAAAAAAATGGAGTGGGGCTAAGTAACCGGTTTGGAGATAATTGATGTTTATCTGTCAAATAACAATTTGATACAATTCCAATCACACAACCATAAATTAACAGAATGTGCATGTCAACTTTCAGTTATCCATCCAATGGTATATACCTCACATTATTTTTTTTTTTATTTATTTAAACAGATTTTAATGAATTTTCAGCAAATTTAGAGCTTTGCAACCACAAAAGAAAAGTCAAAAATGGATGTTTTTTTCCACTGGACACCACTATTTTAGCTACCTTTACTCATTGGCAATATATATACTTTTAAAAAGTGATGATTGCAATTGTAATAAAGTAAATTTATACTTTTCTTTGTTCTTGAATTGCCAACAAAAGTAATAATCATTATTTAACTGTTTATTATATTGTTTTTTGAAATAGGTAGCAAAACATTGACTAATATAAAATAAAACAGTAAATAATAAGGATTTCCTTATAGTTGGTTCATATATTTTAATAATTTAGTTAATGTTTGTAAATTTATGAAATATTTTTTTTCATATTTATTTCTTTATAAATTGGTAAATGATATATCTTGCATTGCACTAGTTTTTAATTGTGGATCTTAGAATGTTGTAAATATAAAATTATTCTTGTAAATAAACAATATAATAAATAAATAATGATTAATAATTTTGTTGTAAATTCTCAAAAACAAAAAATCTATAAATTCACTTTCATGTTTCCAGTGGTGTAGCTAGGAGTTGGGTTGGGTGTGGTCCGCCCCGTGTGGTACTTTTGTTCCCAGTGAGTTTTCAGAAAAGAAAAAAAAAAAAACAATAGCATAATTTTAATAATTTTTGCCAAAAAAAAGCAGCAAGGAAGAAGATAGGGTTCAAAAGAAAACAGTTTGTTTTTGATATGGCTGGCTCAAAATCAGCCAGCAATAAAAAAAAAAAAAAAATAAAATTGTCTCCAAAAGGCATTGTCAGCAGGTGGGGATAAACCCCATTTACCAGACTTGAGCAAAAAGTGTGAAAAAAATTTGAACATTTTTAAAATTCTTGATGTGGGGTTGGGTTAAGTGAATTTAGTGAATCCAGTTTTTTCACATGTAAGTGAGAAGTCCAGACTTTGATGTCAGTTCTTTGATTTTGATTTTTCATGTCTGTGAACTGTTAGTGAAAAAAAATTAATTAAATAAGTGAACCAATTGTCTTTTTTTTGTTATCATAGGTTTAACTTTTTATTTACAAAAAAAAAAAAAAAAAAAATGTAAATTCCTAGCATTTTTTTATTTATTTTGTAAATAATCATGTTATATAAAAAGTTCACACAGTTTAAATTTATAATTTTTTTCATTTCTAGCATTTTTTTTATTTTGTAATTTTATTTTTAATCATTCACACGAACTTTGTAAAGAGCATGATTATCTACAAAATAAAATTAAAAAATAAAAAAATGCTAGAAACGAAATAATAATTAATGCGCAAACTTTGTGTGAACTTTCCTTTGCTCATTATTAATTTAATTTTCTTTTGTAGCATTTTTTTTATTTTGTAAATATCGGTGCTCTTTATGAAGTTTGCGCATTTATTAGTATTTGTTTTATGTTTAATAATTTAAAATAAAAGCTTTACAACAATTGTCATTGCTTTCCTACACAAAAAAAGGGTTACTATTAAAAAAAAAACAAAAAAAAAAAACTAACACTTGTCATTGCTTATGTGCGCAATAATTTAGGCGAGTAAAATCAGTTAAGAGCAGTAAAAAGGCCGTTAATTAAGCTTCCGCACACAAAATGTTCCACAGTGAATGTTGTTGAACGCAAGTCCAAACTTTTATTGTCGATAACTCCAAACGGAAAATATTATCAAAATTTTTTTGTTATTTTAGAATTAATCATGTAAATTTACACCTAAATATAACGATTCCAGAAATTTTTATTAGATATTTATACAGGCATTAGATTCTGAGAAATGGAAAAATATTAAAAATTGATGGGTGTACAAATAATTTCGTCATTGACTGCGTGTATAAACTTTCAATATTGTATTCTTTCTGGGGAAGGGTGGCAAAAACAGTAGCTACGCCACTGTATGTTTTGCTTTATTCAAATTTTTATCATTGCTTTTTAAAACAATAAACATTGCTGAGGAGTGAAGGTAGTTAAAATAATAGCAGTGTTAATGGAAGAACCATTTTTTGACAACCATTTTTTTTTGTGGGCACGAAGCTTCAAGTTTGCCAAAATTTCTTACTATACACAGTTTTTGATAAAATAAATATTGTCTACAGCCACATTTAAAAATAAAAAAAAAAAACACTGACTCAACTAAAAACTTGAAAATATTCTCATGAAAAACAACATTTTGGAAATAATTTATGTTGATACTTGAATTGATTTGCTTATTAATCCAAGACTTGTTTGGACTATCGAACTCATTTTTTTATGCTGCTTTTATTGTTATTACAATAATCTTTTTTCTTTTTGCCACAATTTTCTGGAAAATGGATTCTCCCTCTCTTTCCTTATAGATTTATACCTGAAGAAGGCTGTAAAATGGATTGGCTGAAACAGTGTATTAAGAAAAACAACAAAGTAGGAGTTTGATAGCTTGAACAATTCTTGGTTAATAATCATTTCTCAAAATTATAGAAGTTATAATTTTGTGTTTGCTTTTAAATGCATAAAACGATTGTAATTTCTGATATGACATAATTACAAATATGCAAATAACGAGTCTGTATTCTCTTCTAATTAGATAAAAAAAATCATCTAAAGTAATTCAAATGTTATCAATCAATATTGACTAAACTAAATGAAACGAGGATTAAACATTTACAAATAACGTAAAGCAATGAGAGCATTACATAAATTTTTTTAAATGTAGTTTTTGTATGTTATTAATAATGGTAAAAAGTTAACTGAA